TGTGTGTGTGTGTATATATACATATACATATATATAATTTTTTTCTTCATGTAAAACCTACCCAATAACGTAGTAACAATAACAACAGTGGACGATTTCTCTTTAGTTCATCCACTTGCGGCAGTTAGGCGCACCACATGCGCATGCTATCTTGTGCTGGTCATCTTCGATATCAAATTTATAATCATATGCCAGCTGTGAAAGGATCGAAAATATATTTCAATATGTAATGTCCAGAAAATTATAAGATTTGTCATTGAAAAGGAAACCAATATACCTCTTCACCACGTGAGATTCTTCGCTTTGCAAATATTATAATTCTGAGATCACGCTCGACTTCAACAATTTCAGCGACACAATTGGGATTGCAAGAATGATTAATATATCGGGCAAGTCCACCGCATAAAGTTGCATCAACAACTCTTTCTTCGTCTAATCGGAACATATAAATACCACGATTCTAAAATATAAAAAAAAAAAAAAAAAAAAAAAAAAAAGAAAGAAAGAAAGAAAAGAATATATTTATATATGATTAAAATGACACGAAAATATGAAAAATAATAAAAGAAGTCTATATAAAAAGATAAAACTTTACTTACCCTAGCCTCGTATTGCTTTTCTCTGGTTTCAGCTAATTCAGTTCGTATTATTTCCCCTATATATTCTATGACCATTGTATGTTTTTCAAGATCACGCGCGGCGTACAAACCAAGACCCTGAATCTTGGAACGTGCCAAATAAACATTATTTCGCCACTCCTGTTTCATCTTCTTATATTGCGAACTTTTCGAATGTACGAACTGTTTCGAATACGGACATGCAACTTCACCGGCTACCGTGGCAGTCGGTACAAAATTTGCCCGAGCCGAAGAGCCAGTACGTTGAGTGTGAGGTCGTTTCCAAGGTAATTGATTTCTTAATCGGGCTTCGGTCCTTGCACTGCCAGTTGGATTAATAGCTAAAGGTAATTCTAATAAAGGATTGCGTCCATATTTAAATCTATAATCTGTTAGGGTTTCGATGCCAGGTAAACTTTCAAGAACTCGTACTACAGCTGGCTCCGTAAGGCCGAAAAGATCTTCGCCAGAAACGTAACGTGGAAATAATTGAACACTGTGTGTCGACCTACGAAGTTCAGCAAGAGGTTCGAGAATTCGACTCCAAACGGCTCGTGGCGTAGCATCACGTAATTCAACATCTTCTTGTAATGGTTCTTGTACTAATACTCTGAATTCGGGTCGTCCTGAAACGTCGTGGATAGAACATACGTATCGGCAACGTTTGTTGGGCCTTCTCATGCTCCAATAAAATCGTACGATTTTATAACCGACAGGATATATATAATTAGGCGTGTGGAAATTAGCGAGCTGATGAGGAAGTAACTGTCCAACGCTTAAGAAAATTAGACTTCCTACTCTGAGTAAATGATTATGCTCAGAGTGATGCATCACTGCTGCAACTTGTCTATTCTCGTCACGATTTACATAAACTCTTCTAAATACGGACAAGGTTGTCAATTCGTTATCCTTCTCATTTTTCTGTACATGCTGCGAGCAGTAAGTGCTCTGAAATTATCATTAGTATAAAGTTAGCCTTTGATGTTTAAGGAGTTATATAGAGTTCCACGTGTAAAATATAGATACTTACTTTATTCTTATAAAATACGCAACCATCTTTAACCGCACAACCAAGATGATAAACGTTCGTACAACGCATTTTAAAACATTTCACTGTAGCTCCCGGTTTCTCACAAACGATACAATTCAATACAAGGCTATGTTGTAAAGCAGTGTCCAAATTCATCAATGCGCCGTTTACCGTCTCATACACGTCCTCCGACCATAATGCACAATTCAAATGTACCCATTTGTCAACATCGAAATTTAATAATCGAGCTGGTCCATCGGCAGTACCGTCTCCTTGGCTTTGGCAAAACATGCATCGGCGACTGTCTTCTGCCTTTGCAGGTATCACGGTTACACCCATGCGGAAAAGCATCTATAAACATAATTATAATATTTCATATATTAATCGTTTTACAATAATAAAAGATATATTTATAATGCGATGTCAATTGTTCATACATCGGTAATTTCCTTGTCAGTGGGTTTTTTATATTTAGTTGCAGGCTGTATCGCACCCATAGTCCAAGTTTTATATTTTAAACCTCTCCATACTTTCGCAGGTGGAGGTGGTTCACTCGTTTCATTAGCTGGTTCCTCGAGGGCAGCATGTTTCTTTGGTCGCTTTTCATCCGATAAATCTTCCTTATTATCATGCATTTCGAATTCTTCCTCAATTTTGATTCTAACATCCGATTTATTTTCAGGTTCTATTTCCATACTTTCCACGTGGTCGATAGATTGCTTAAGTGAAAATTTTTTCTCTTGCATTTTTTTAAAATCATCATCTATTACCTTGGGATCTACCTTTTGGCATAAATGATCTACTATTGTCGCAGCCTATAAAGAAAGGACAAAGTAAATTTTATGCATTCCGAAGGTAAAATTTTTCTCTTCGAATATATAACTAACTTTTTCTTGCGTGTTTGTAGGTGTCCTATGCATTAGAGCAAATTGCATATAACATGCTGCTGAACAAAAACATAATTCGTCACCAGGTTCTGCTTCTTCCTTACTCAAAAATGGTAAATCTGACACTTTTTTTCTTATTAAGCTATTTAATATCACAACATCACAATGACGACAGAATTTGGCAGCACCATTCAAAATACTCTGTATGTCAATTGGTGCTATAAATAAAAAGTTTAGCTTATTTCTTTTCTCAACAGGTCCAACTATATCATACAAATCGAACATTTATTTTTTTTAGGATATCAATTATGATAAATAAAATCATTAAACAATTTAGTTACCTCCTTCTTTGCCATCTTTTCCTTTAGTTCTGTAAAGTCCTAATTTTTGACTAGGAGGAGTAGTGGTACGTTCTACTATCTGGTAACCAGTTGGAGGAGCTATGTTTAATATATTTGCCAAATCTTTAAGTACACCCATTATATCATCTGCAGCCTGACTATTCAAAGTCAAGGTAACAGTAACATTTCCATTCTCCCTTAATGGTGTTGGTGGAGATTTTCCAAGCCTGTATGAGAAGAAGTTGATTTAGTAAAAAACAAAAAGAACAAAAAAAAAAAAAAAAAGAAGAAAGATAACAAGGTATAATTTATTAAGTAATAACATTAATTAGCATATACCTTGGAATTCCTAAGTTTTCTTTATCTTGTTTGGTTGTATCTCTTATATAGGTAGGTTTAAGTCTAATTGGTATAGGAGAAATTAAAGGTATAACAGGTGATACTCGTTTCAACCAATCAGATTCTTCGTCTGACTCTTCTTCGATTAATCTTAATCCTGGGAAACGAGGGATGAACTCTGGTATCACACATTCTGGGGATGACGAGCTTACTATCGTATCAGGAGAATCAACATCACGATTCGTTATCAAGGAATTTTCTTTCTTTTCATCGGCTAAAATAATAATTTTTATAAAATAAGCTGAAATAATTTTTATTAGAAGATATTAATTTATTATTATACATACAGTCATCCAATTTGAGAGGTGGAAATTCCTGGTCGTAAAATCCTCTTTGTGTAGAAATAGGTTGTTGAGGAGGTAACGGTTCTAATTCACCAAAAGGTTGAGTATTATAATGATCGGAGACACCAGGTATGTTAGCAGAACCATATGAGCCAATTAAATCTCCAGTTCTGGTATTATAATCTTTTTGGCTTACAATTTTTAATAATTCCCCTGAACCAAAAATAGGACAAACACCATAATTTCTCCCTAATAGAGGTTCCAACACTGCCATTGGTTGAAGTTGCCGTAATTGAATCATAAAATTATCGATAAACGTGTCATAATCTTCGTCTAATCGCGATACTTTTCTACATCGCTTCTTTTGAGGTACCGCTGTTGCGTCCTTGCCTTGACTCTGTTTACGTTTTTGCTGATACTGACGCCTTCTTAACTTTTTGAGATCTAAAAATAAATATATGATATATATTTATTATATACACGGTTTATTAATAAAAGTTATTGGTAATATGGTATATAAATAAATATACCAGTTTTATCATCCATAGATCCGTCTATAAGCTCCTCTTTGGCAGTAAGAAAGTCTTTGGTATCGGTTAACTGGGTAGGTGTACCACTGGACAGAACTTCATCAAGAATTTCTTTTTTGACTTCTACTAAAGGCACTGAATGTTGTGCATTTGCACCCTGTGACATCTGTGATTGATGACCCATAGAATGGGACACTGTTTGAGGCACTGATGGCTGTACTGAACTAATATGTGTAGATTGTTGTGATGTAGCTATAGATTTTTGAGTTACTGACAATAGAGGTTGAGACTGTAAAGTCTGAGGGGGTGTAACTGATGGGGCTTGTTGTGTAGCGTGAACGTTATTTGATGCTTGTGATATAGCCTGCGTAATTTTTGCAGGTACAGTCGTAGTTACGGTAGGCTTTGTTTGTGAAACCATTCTCGAAACTATCATAGGTGTTGATGCACGTTGCTGTTGCACTTGTGTAGTATTTGTGATAGCAGGATCATTAGATGTTTTCATCTGAGGTTGGCTAGTATTAGTATCCTGTTGCAAAGAAGATAGTACTTCACAATTTTTTGTTGACACTGGTGCTACTTGTTTCACAGTTGGAGCAGTTATGGGCTGTTGATTTGCCTGTGTAGTGGTAGACACAGTTTTTGGTGTCTGGTTTGTCGTTTGTTGCTTTACCATTGTATCAACGGATCGTTGTTGCGTCAGGGTCGATGTAGATGTTGCTAACGGTGGCGGAGGTGGTGGCGGTGGTGGTGGTGGCGGCTTTGGAGGTTCTTCTTTTATCGGTGGACTTTGAACTTTAAGAGGAGTGACCGAATGTGATAGAAACGAAGTCTCTCTAGTAAGAACTTGTTTATTAGCAGGTGATTTGGCAGTTGGTGTCTCATTTAGCATAGGTGATAATAGAAAGGATGGAGTAGGTGGAATTGGCCTTGCTAATTGTGCTTCCAATGATGGTACTAAAGGCAAACTTGGTCCTTGTGAGCTACTAACTGGCAATGTTGTAGTTGCACATGCTGTATTTTGTAATAATTGTTTCAATAATACATTCTGAGATTCTTCCATTCTGTGAGAGTTTGTTGTTAAGCTACCTTTACCAATTTCTAATTCGTTTCTTGTTGTAACCGTTTTATCAATACTTGTTTGCATTTTAGAATTTGTCTCATCTTGTTCTTTCTTTCCAGCAGAACTTTGATTTAATCCCTCCAATTCATTATTTTTATTGTCAATAGGTAAGAGACCTGCAGTTTTATATTGAGATTGCCCAGAACTATGTTGAGCTTGTAAAAGTGTTGAAGTTTGAGACAATGTAGATTGTAATATACTGGTAGTAACGCTAACATTACTTGTACTAGATGTTACTGTAGGTGGTACAATGGTTCTTACACATTGCATAGATGTACTTATCGCTGCCGAGGTAGAATTAGCGGCAATGCGAGAAGATATTGAATTATTTGAGCTTACTTGCAATATTGCTTGCAGATTTTGTGTTCTTTGTACAGATGATGGTGGCATAACTGAACTTAATAAGTTACTGGCCTGTGTTGGGACAGTATTTGCTCTATGTCCAGCAATCGTTGGTTTTGCCGAATTTGTACCAGCTAACATAGCATTTAACATTGCATTTGAGGTAATAGATATACCAGTATTAGTTGGTTGTCTAGGAGTTATTACAGAAGATGTTTGTGATGTAAGACAATTTGTTGATGGGGATTGAATTCCACTTGAAGTTACTCGTAGAAATTGCTCAGAGGTTGTTACTTTACAATGACTTGAAATAACGCTGACTGTAGAGTTTGTACTTTCTTTACCCTGTGAAGTGTATGCAGTAGTGGTACATTCAATATCTACTTTATTTGTATTTGCATGAAGAGACGAAGTCATGCATGTCTGTAAACGAAGGTTTGAATTAGGCTGCGTATTATTAATAGAATTCGGAGAAGATGTGCTCGTTGATAAGATCGTTCCGACTTTCGGCGCTGAAATGACCGAAGATACCATAGTAACGATAGTAGGTTGTTGACTGGTTGTACAGTTTTGAGAATGATTTGTCTGTAAAGAAGAAAGTAATGTTCTCAATTGATGCGATACATTGGCCACATTCGATGTAAGCTCTGTAGGCTTGGACAAAGGAGAAAGATGAGGTACTGTAGTTGTACATTTTTGTAATTGTGCTACTGTGCTCACAACCAACGGGACAGTATGATGCGGTGGACTTTTCTTAGATATAGATCCCGTAGGCGATGGACTTGTTTTTTGAGGTTTAGGCGACATTTTATTTTCCGAAGATAGAAGATGTTCATTTTCCAAATTTTCTTGCTCCAAGTCCATCAATGAGTCTTGTAAAATATTAAGAGGTAATGTATCCAATGGTGTTGGTAACTGGTATATAAGACTCGATTTTCTAGATCTGTCTTCATGAAGAATATCGGTATTTGCCATCTCTGGTTTAGAAGATATTATATTGTGAAGCATATCTAATATATCATCCGATGATTCTTCCATTAAATTTCTTTCTTCATTTAGGCAATGCTGTAAATATGGTTTATTAGATTCAATTTCTGTACAGGATACATTGTCTTTATTCTCTTTATGTTCTTCTTGATTAATATCGCTTATAATTTGATTCGTATCGGTATCCGCGTTGCTTACTTCACTAATAGGTTGCTTTATTACCTCCTTAGTTTTCTCTACTTTTGATACTTCTGTGTCTGTGCCATCTTGTTTATTGTCATTTTCAACGGCTGGTTCAACATCATTTTCTAAAATATTTACAAGTGACAAATCATCAGCAACAGGCGACATTCTTTTCAACGTGGAGACATTTGATTTTTCCTCAGGATGTGGATTCTTTTTTCCAGTTATATTATTTTCAGCAGGATTATGAATAGCTTCTAACATACTTTCTAATTCATCCGTTGTATTCAATGGATCATTTTTCTTATCATCTGAAATTATTGTATCTGAAATTGCAGTTGAATTAATATCTACTTTTGAAACAATATTATCTTTTTCTTGATTTTTTTCTGCATTATCCGTTTCATCTCTTTCATTCTTTTCTTTTCCAATACTCCCAGTATATTCATTTTTATCGTCTTTTGGAGTAACTACGACAATATCTTTTTTAGGTAAATCAGGTATTGACATTTTTGGTGTTGATAAAGTAACTGATGTAGGCTGGACGCTTAATACTAATTTTGTAGGATTACTTGTTGATTCTGTTGTATTCACACTAACATTCTGTACAAAACTTGTATATTCAAACTGTGTGTTAGGCGTTGATATTTTGTCTGTTGTTATAATGTATGTTGTTGAAGTTTCTGTGTTTGACAAAGTCACTTTCGGTAGTGTCTTCGTTTCGGGCGTGATTTGCTGTGAAGTAACTCCTATATTTTCTAAAACAGTTTGACTAAGTTTAGCTGCTATTTTAGCATCTGCTACAATACTTGCCATCGTTGATGATAAAATAGTTTGTCTTTGAGAATTTAACGTACTTGTTATTTGCTCCTTTGTCACGCATACGGTTGGAAATGTTGTAGATGACTTAGTAGTTGTATCCGATGTTAATATAGTTGACGATACTGTTATAACATTTGTTTCAGTTGTTGTCGAAGTTGTTGTAAACATAATAGTAGATAAACAGCTAACAGGTAAGCCAATATTTGCCTGATGTAAACTGGAAGGCGGTATTTGACTATATGATACACTCTCAGGAAACGTAAATGCTATCGGGCTTTTTGTTTGTTTCGTTTCTTTTTGAGATTCTGATTGATCCTCGTTTGAAGATTCTTTTATAATATTTTCTTTAGGTACATCTAAATTATTTGTAGTATCTATTTTATCATTTTCTTCCTCACAAGATTCCTTAGAGAAATTATCTTCAGGTGATTTCGTACTAGGGTCAATAATAACAACCTCTGATTCACTGTCCAAAGATACCATAATATCTTGGTCTGGTGAATGATCCATATATGGTCCAGGTGATGGATCTACACGTAATTCATCTTGATCAGGGGACTCTGGTGTATCTGTTACTGCCAACAATCTTTTTCCCGATTGAAGCGTTCTTACGATATCCAATCTTAAGCCTTTTTTATTTCTTGTATGTGAAGGTACAAGATCTTCATCGCTTAATATAGGTTCATCAGTTTGAGATTCTGGATTTTCAATTTCCAAAATTTGTACCAAGTCATGTCCTTGACTACCATCATTAACAAGTGCATGACAAAGAGAATCGTTACTATCAGCAGATAAATCTACAACCATTCCAGGCTCAAAGAGCACATATTCTTCTTGCATGTCTCCATCAAGCGTACCTGATATAACATCTACTAACTCTGTGTCTCCAAATTGTTCTATGACAGTAATGTCATCATTATCCCGTTGAGCCGTTGAACTTAATGTTACCTCAGTGTTAACTATCGTCTTATCATCATCATAATCAGTAGTATCAGGTATAGGTTCAAGTTTATCACTTGGACTTCCTAATTGTAATGGACCATTATCAGGTAACGACGGTGTCTGTTTTGATTCTGTAGATGTTGGGGGCGTTTGAGGTGGCGTATGAGAATCATCGTCGAAATCATTATAATCTGCACAAACTAAAGAATTAATTTTTGACGGTGGTATACCTGTTTTTCTATGTACAACTGATGTATTAGGTTTTTCATCAATATTCAATAGATGAGTCTCTGCAGTTTTACCCTTACTAGATTCTGCTTTTGTTGACCACATTGGGGAGCCACCTCTTAGACCAAGTTTAAAAAATCCATATCTTCCAAAATTTGGTATGAATGGTAATGGATTTATTGGATTATGTGGATTTCCACCTCCTCTATTTGTGTGATCTACAGATGTTTGTTCTGGCTGTGATACTGATTGTTGATGCTGATGTTGAGAAAGTTGTTGTTGCTGTTGTTGTTGATCGTTCGACATTACTGCGTTACCTGAATTTTGAGGGGCATAAACTGCATGGGGTGTATGAGGAGTATGTGGTGTTCTTGGGGTTCCCGGATTTTCAACACTTTGCGGTCTATCAGGCATCGCTGGACTATTGCCAGTAGATTGTCGTCTTTGCATTTGCATTGGAGAACCACCAACCATTGGACTACGTGGCATTGGAGAATTTGGTGTTTGTGATGGTGGTGGGTGATGTGAATTATTAAGCTGATGTTGTAACATTGGTGATGTTGATGGATGATTACGAGCCATAGGGCTAGGTGGTTGACATTGAGAAACCATTGGAGAAGTGGGAGGATGCGTATGCATTCTTGTATTCATTGGACTTGGAGGTTGAGAAGTTTGACTTAATTGTTGTTGAAGCATAGGTGAACCCATCGTTTGTTGTACCATAGGACTACGTGGCATTGGTGAGCTCGGTGGTTGTCCATAATTTTGCGATATTTGTTGATGAAGCTGTGGACTTGGTGAATTTGCAGGCTGAGATACCATGGGAGAATTTGGAGGTTTTTGCATTGTAGCTCCATGCTGTTGTTGTTGCTGTTGTTGTTGCATTTGTAGAAATTGTTGTTGCCTTTGTTGTTGCTGCAATATTTGTTGCCTTTGCTGTGCCATTTGTAAAGTGCGTTGAGTTATAGTATTTTGCCCGTCTTGAGTAACGTTATTTGTATCGTGTTGTTGTTGTTGCTGTTGCTGCTGCTGTTGTTGCATAATTTGCTGTCGTTGTAACATTTGTTGATGCTGTTGTTGAGTCATCAATGATTGTTGATTGGGTTGAGGACTTCCAAGTGGAGAACGCTGACCATATACTATTCCTCCTTGTAATGGCATTCTCGGTCTTTGTCCAGGTTCTCCTATTACCGGTGGACGAACAAATCTTTGAGAAAGTGCATGTACTCTAACTCCTTGATCTCCAATAATTTGTTGGGTGTTTCGTGCTTCTGTTGTAAAAGAACCTGGACTCGTAGCATGTCGTCCTGTTATTACTGCACGATGTTGTGGCGAAGTCATTCTAGTAGCTGATGGACCACAAATCCCTGGTGACGACATAGCACCTGGACTGAAAGGACTCTCTTCGCCTTGCGAATGAGGTGTCCCTATCCTCGGAGATTGTTGCATATTGTGAGGAGACATAGTACCCGGATTTGCTGTTTGTGGATTACCTGGACTATGTTGCAGTAATGGTGGATTAGGACTATGTTGTATAATCGGCGTAGCTGGTGAATGTTGTATCATATTTGCAGGGACACTTCCAGGGCCTGGACTTTGAGAAACAAGTGCAGCTGGACTATGCATTGGTGAATGTTGAGAAGGAGACATTAACGGTGAACAAGGTTCACTGTTTTGTGGTTGAGATTGTTTTTGTTGTTGTTTAGTATTATATTCTTGTATCAACATCCCATGTTGTCTCGTTTGTTTTCGGCTAGCATCTAAATGTTTCTGTAATATTGCTTGTTCACTCGAAATTCTTTGAAGTTCGGCAGCATCATTTTCTGCCAGTTCATTTCCAGATTTCCGAAGTTGTCGTTGTTTGCTATTAAGGGACTGTGTAAAACACAAAATGTTAAGGAAACATAATACTATTTCTATATAAAATATCACTAAGATTTACTATGCTTACTTTTCTTACTTTGCGCAGCTTCTGGACTTCCGTTTCATAATATTTTAGTTGTTGTGTTAATACTTGATGTTGATGATTCAACCACTGTTCATATTGGAGTTGCATTTGACGATCCTGTTCGTTCACTATGTTTTCTGGCGGAGTCGGTGGTGCTGGTATTTGAGGTATATTGAATGTAGCTACTCTTGCTGTAATAAAAAAAAAAAAAAAAAAAAAGGAAAAAATAAAAAAAAATAAAAATAAAAAAAAAATAAAAAAATAAAAAAAAATAAAAAATAAAAAATAAAAAAAGATAAAAAAAAAGTAAAATAAAAATAAAACAAAAAATGTTACATATATAACACGTAAAATTATTAATAATTTATGTGGTACTGACGTTCAGGTGGTGTTTGCGTAGCGATTGGTTGTCTGGGTACTTGTACTGCAAGCTTTGCCGCGTCTGAAACTGCTTGTGGCCAATTTTTTCCTGGGGCAGATGGTGGTCTCGGTGTACACGGTGGTCTAATAACAGGAATTCCACCAGGCACTGGTACCATTCCTTGAGGAGGGGATGCTAACGGAGCAGAGCCTAAAACGTCTGCTCTCAGTCTCTCAAAGTCACTATCACTTAAAAGAGTTCCACTAGGAGTTGTATTGTCAACTTGTTGTTGTTGCTGCTGTTGTTGTTGTTGTTGTTTTTCTTGTTCCCGTTTTTCTTGTTCCAAAAGATCCTCTAATAGCAATGGTTGCTCCTGTGAACATGACTGCTAACAGTTAAGGTCACTTTCTATTTGTATAGAATAATTTCACATTAACAAATGCCTTTTATCTTGGATATTCAATTGAAATGAACAAAAAGGAAAAAAAAAAAAGAACAATAAGATCAACAGAGACAATTTTTTTTTTTATCTAACATAGATTTATCTTTTTATATTTGTTATGCAATGCATTTCTAATAAACTATGATATAGCTATATAACATTACATAGCATTTAAGTGTGTAATTCGGAATAAAACATGGACATGCGAAAATAGTACTAATCAATTATATATATATATATATATATATATATATATATATATATATATATGTATAAGCGTTTGTAAAAATTATATTTAATTTCGAATGATTTAAAAGGCAATAAAACGTAGAAGAAAGCTAGTTATAATTTTTTTTTTTTTAAATATAAAAACTAAAAAAATACTTAATAAATATATTTCGTATGAACTATAAACCCTTTTCAAAAAAGATTAAATTAATCCATTTAAAGTTCATGCATACACAAAATACATTGCACAATCTTAACATTAAAAGTAACTAATAATAAGATTTTTCAAGCGTAAAAATATATCATAAATAAAAAGTAGTAACGTTGTTTTACTTTTTTTTTTCTTTTCTCTTTTTAATGTAACACATATATTTGAAAAACTTTTGGAATGGCAACTCATATAGATCGTTTGTAAAATTTAATTTCAATAAAATATCGCTAAAATATCACATATATATATAATAATACATTAAAAAAATTATTATCACTGAAATATTTGATTTTTTTTCTCCCTTTTTTTTTTTTTTAATATTAACAAAAATAGTGCAATATGCAATCATCTTGTGTAATACATCCTCATTATTCTCTTTACTATTGCAGGTGATTTTTTGACTATTTGTGCTGAGTGCAAAAAATGCCTCAAGTCTTGCTCACCTGCAGAAGCAAGGGTCTTCGATGAGGGTGAGGTGCCATTGCAGGCGCACCAGAATGAACCACTGGGGCCATTGGTGGACCAGCCACTGGCACTGCGTGCCCTATATGAACTGGGGGCCGCGTCAAGCCCCGCCCACCTGGGCACAGCCCCATCTAGACATGCACCAACACCAAATGCATTGCAAACACCCAGGCCAAAACACCATTTTACCAGCCAATACTTTTAGATTAAATAAATCGCTTGGCTACACCTACGTTGACAGCAAACTTCAATTTCTTTTTGATGCGTAATACAACAAATGTATCTTAAACCCCTTCTCATGTATTATCTTAACATATAATCAATCGACTATATTTCTGGCAACATAATATTGAAATCTTGTCTGTGTCTTCGTTCGTTAGCTTCTAAATCAATAAAAACTGTTATTTCATTTTCAAGTCTTGAAATAATCTATATAGTACTAGGACTTATTAAACTTATTGAACAAAAATTTTTTTTAAATTGGAAAAAAAAAAAAAGAAAAGATAAAAAAATAAAAAAAAGAAAGAAAAATACAAATAAATATATAGAAAAAAAAAGAAAATTAAAAAAAAAAAAAAAATAAATAAATAAACAAAAAAATAAAAAAATAAAAAATACGTTAATATCAAATATATTCTGAATTTGCATGAGATCAAGTTCTTTTTTATTTTGCGGTTAGAAGGGTGTTAAATGTAATTAGATACTGGATATGAAAGCGATGCAGAAATTAGGAAACATAAGAAATATGTTATCTATACAAACCTGTATAGGACCAGGATATGGTGGTGGTGGGCCTGGGTACGGTGGTGGTGGAGGTGGCGGTGGCGGTGGAGGTGCTAGTGGCAAACGTGGTCCGATCATATGGTTCACTGTCACCACGCGACCAGCCACATTCTGGACTCCAGCAACCCTCATACCAAGACGTTGTTGTTGAGCAACTATAAATAATTTTTTTTTATTTTTTTTTTTTTCTATACGAATATATGGATCAAAGATAGAAATCTAATCAATTATCCACGAGTATAAAATTGGATCATATATTACCTTGTATATGTGTTTGTGGTACTCTTTGAGGATGTCCAGGAAATGTGGAAGGATAGCTGACGGTAACTGTATTGGTCGATGTAACGACACCAACAGCTCCATCAGGAGATAATATTCGAGTTCCTGGAGGCATAGGTCGTCCCATTGCCGCTGCTTGTTGTACATGCTGATGCATTTGTTGTTGTACAACAACAGCTTGAGGATGTGATTGTGGTAAAATTGCCGATTGTTGTTGAGGTGCTTGTGGAGTTGCACTTAAAGATGTCATTGCTTGTACTTGTGTCGGTACAGTAGTTGTATCAGTCGACGTTTGTACAGTGCTCACTGTACATTTTTCGCTGATACCAGTGAGTACTCTACTTGTTCCAGCTAAATCTTCCGATTTGTGCTCTTCTTCTTTAGACTCCTTCTTTTGTTTTTCTTCTTTCGTTTCTACTTCAACTTGTTCCAATTCTAAGTCAAGAATATTAGTTTTATCACCTCCAGTTATATTATTTAATTCGGGATCTGCGTATTCCAAAATATTAAAATCTGCACCCATTTCAGCTGCAAAGAATGAATTACAAATATTACATGCGTATATATATATATATTATGAAGTTAAACAAATTTATATATTCAGGCAAATTTTTACTTACCAAGGAGTTCATCATCGTCGTCACCTAAATCACCTAATATTGCACTCACGCCCTCGACCTCGACCATTGGTGCTCCTTCCTCTTGTTCTAATTTCTCAAGTTCGGCAGTTACATTGTATGGAATTTCTGACGGTTCTGGAGTGCTAGTAGTTTCATTAACAGTTGATTGCATAATAGTTGGTCTAACCAATCCTTGCGTTCCTAACATACGCATTCCTTGAGTTAAATTATCTTGACCTGGTCGTACCATACGTTGTCCAAGAGGTTGTCCCTGATTTGGTTCTTAGTATAAAAAACAAAAAAAAAAAAAAAACAAAAAAAAAAAAAAAAAAAAAAAAAAAAACAAAAAACAAAAAACAAAAAACAAAAAAAAACAAAAAAAAAAGAAACAAAAAAAAAAAAAAAAAAAAAAAAAGAAACAACAAAAAAATAAAACAAAAAAAAATTAAAATTTTTTCACTTCACTTATAAAATAATAAAAAGTAATATGAATTATAGAATACCTTGAAACCTTTGTTGCTGGAGCACATCATAAGATTCCGGAAGTGTATTTCTAGCGGTCGGCATCCGAGTTTGTAAAGGTTGCGTACTTTGAAAGTGCTGTTGTGGAATACTTGCATTAACTTGTGGTCGCTGTAATAACATTCTAGCGCGTGAATCTATAGCTTGAAGTCTCGCATCTATGTTTACAGGATGTCTCGAAGTTATTCCTAAACATATATAATTAATTATATTTATTATTTGCATCGTAATTAAATTATTTATTATTATTATTATTTTTTTTTTCAATAACACTTGAAATCATACCTATTGAATTTCTTATTAAAACATTTGGTTGAAGTGGCATCCGTGGTCTTACGACACTTGGTGGAAGTGGATGCCTAAATGTACCTTCCCCAGTATTATTATTGGATTGAGAATGTTGTGGAAGTTGCACATGACCTGTTTCAAATTGTCCCTGATTTCCGTCAGTGTTATTTTGTCCATCTTTAAAATAAGCATATAAAAAATGATTAAAATTTTATTAATGATCCGTAATAAAATATACGTAATTATTATACAATATTACAATCTACCTGGATTCCAAGAAGCATTAACAGATTCAATTTTCTTATTAAACTGTTGCCTTTGGAGAAGATCGCGTAATTGCCTGTTAACTTCTGGCTGTTGATTGAATACTTCTTGCTGTTGTGGTTCTTGCCGAGATTCTGTTCTTGGTGAGGGATAATTTGGAACAGGTGATGGTGTTGGTGGTTGATTACTATAAGGATCAGGAGTACGAGATGGAGCATACACATGAGTAGTAGGTCGTGGTGTGGGTGGATTAAACATTGGTCTTGGTGTACCTGGCGGTTGTGAGAACACTTCATTTCTTGGTGATGTAGAATATGAAGGTGTACCAGATATTTGTGACCTAGGTGTTTGGGAAGCCTGAGAGAAAGCTTCGTTCGTATCGAAGCGTTGAAAATGATCTTGAGATTGAGAGGATGCAGGAGACTGAGGAAAATCATGGGGAGATTGAGGAGCTTGAGGTGAGAACGGAGAAGGTGGTTGTGTGAAATTATTTGGCATGCCTGGCCTGACCACGGTTCCAACTGGACGTGTAACCGTTCCACAAGGTTGAGCTGGTAAGCGTGGCATACCTTGATGAGGACTTGGTGGAGCTACCCCTCTTGTTACTTTAACTGGAGGTGTTGCAAAGGTACCACGTGAACCAGGGGATGGGGATGCAAGTGGTCCTAAATGATTTCCCTCCTAAAAAAATATCATGCATGAAAATAACATGCATGAATCATATCGTGTATTATGAATACACGAGAATTAGTGTATTAACATACCTGTGATGTTGAAACTTGAAGTTGTGTTGTTAATCCTGTTGGATTATCAGTATTTAATTGTGATGTGTTATCTTCGCTTATTTGTCTATGTACTCTGGCTATAGCTGTTATAAAAATTCGTAAATATAATAATATAAATATATTATATTTATAAATCAGTATGTACAATGTGATTATATATACCGTGTACACGTTGCTCTTGAATTACTTGTTGTTGAATCTGTGCTTGTTGTTGACGTAAAGCTTGCAATTGTTTCCACTGACGTTCCTGTTCTGCTTCTCTACTAGAACGGTCTCTATTGGAAAGTCTTTCTTGTTCCTGTTAAAAAACAATTTGTTAAAAGCACGATAAATATATAGAAAAAGATCATTATATCCTTCATGGATGAATACAAGAAAGAAAAAGAAAAAAAGAAAAAAAAAAAGAAAAAAAGAAAAAAAAAAGAAAGAAGAAAAAAAAAAAGAAAAAAGTAAAATAAAAAAAAAGATGCATAAATAGAATTGAATGAATTTCGATTTATGAAAGAATAATATATAATATTAATTGTTACTTATATGGAATTATTCATTAAAAATGTAATAGTATTATTTTTAGGATATAATGACCTATTAACCAAATCATTTTTGGAGCAATATAAAGTACAAGGCATTAATGACAATCAGCCAAAATGTTTTATTACAACATTCACAAAAACATACTGGCATGATACTAAAAATTAAATTTATCAACAAGACCTTATTTCCACATGTGCAACTTATTAGGAACAACCAGCCACCATCTAAAAAAAATATTTTCATACTCCATTTATATTGAAAGTTCATTATGTTAAAATAAAACAATCACGAACTTTCTCATCATCACAAATTTTTTATAAATATTACTCATGCACAAAAATTAAAAAGATTAACAAAAGAAAAAAAAAATTCAATAAATAAAATAAGCATAATACAAAATGAGTTTACAACTATAATAAATTTATAAAATATAAAATACATATGTTAAATAAATGTTAATAATTTATAATAGTAAACAGTATTAAAATAAAGCAATGTATAAAATTTATTGTACTTTTTTCTTAATTATTTTTTAAAACATTAGACTTTAGAGATCAGCAATTATATTTACTAATGTAAGTAGATTTCTCAAATAATTTTAAGAATGTAATGTATCAACCTATATAAGTTACAAATATGTACTAATGATGTCCTTCACTTAAATAATTTCCTTCGTGACTAGTTCATGTTACTGGGAAAAAAAAAGAAAAAAAAAAAAAAAAAAAAAAAAGAAGAAGAAAAAAGAAAAAAAAAATCCAAAACAAACAAAAAAAAAAAAACAAAAACAAAAAAAAATAAAAACAAAAAAAAAAACAAAAACAAAAAATAAAAAAAAAAGGTCTTTGATGTAATGTAAAAAAAATTCAACATAAATAATTGGTAATCTGAAAGTGTAGGTAGTAAAAACAATTAGTATAATAAACGTGTAAACATTGTACGAACAAACATTTCTACAACATATCACAACGTATATCTACTAAAAACCTTTTAACGATGTTCGTAAAAAGCTTAACATTTTACTACATAATGAGGGACATAATGGGTATTGTATTTTT